AAGGCGGGCACAACCTGGTGCACTGGCCGGGAACATGGAGGACCCCAACTTGGCTCCCTATGCCAACATGCAACCCGCGGCTACAGGCCCCGCCGATGTCCTGGGGCAGAACCTACAGGTTCTAGCTCAGATCCTGGACTCCCAACAGCAAGTGATGGGTAGGCAACAAGATTGATTTCGACATGGCCTAGCATCCTTTAAGATGCCCAAAATGACCAAAGACGACGACCTGGAAGCTTACATCGAAGCCTTTGAGTGGCACGCCCTTATGACGGGGCTCGACCAGAGCTATTGGGCTAGCCAGTTGGGAGTCCTGGTCGTCGGCAAGGCCCAGGCCGCTCGAGAGAGGATGCTCGGGACTACGAGCTAGTGAAACAAGCCATCCTATACAGGCTGGAAATAAACCCGGAGCACTACCGCCGCCTATTCCAGGCCAAAAAGGGGTCTGACGAGAGGCGACCCCGAGTGGTGTTACAGCTATTGAGGGACCTGCTAGATAAGTGGGTGAGCCCAGCCGGACAGGATTGAGAAGCCGTGGCAAACCAAATTGTGCTTGAACAGTTCCAAAACGACCTGGAAGAACGGACACAATGTTGGGTCCGGCAGCACACCCCACATACCTGCGAGGAAGCCCTAAAGCTGGCGGAAGCGTTCATGGCCTCGGAGGCCAGCTACCCTCGAGAGAGACGGAGCCCAGGGTACTCCCCGGTGAGCCCCAAAGAGCCGGAGTGCCGGAGGCCGCCGAGTCGGGGGGCTACCAGGGAAACCGTGTGCTTCTGGTGCGGGCGTAACGGCCATTTTTCTAGAGAATGCCCAAACCAAGCGGTGGAGCACTGGATCCCTACCGACAGGTCAAGAACCTCGACCGAAAAGCGGAGGGGTCCGGAATCAGGCAAACCAATGGACTGTAGCTATGCGATCGGGGCGGAGAATGCAGCCTGGAGTTGCCCAGTCGTAAAGGCCTGGGTGGAGGGTTGCCCAGTGCAAGCGACCCTGGATTCAGGGTGTGCCCAGTCACTAGTGAGGTCAGATCTGGTAGGGCCACAGGGCCGGCAGGGGGCCCGCCTCGTGAGGATAGCTTGTCTCCATGGGGAGTCCCGACTAGTTGAGCACCAGTGGGTTCGCCTAAGGGTGATGGAACACCAAGGAGAACTCCTAGTTGGGGTTGTACCGCGATTAGCGTGTGAGATGTTATTAGGGCGAGATTGGGCACCCGTGTACGATGTCTTGGACAGGGTAAGGGATACTGAAGTAGCCCGTAGAAAGATCCAAGACTGTGAAGGTTAGCTGGGCGAAACACAGGAGGGTGAGGAATCGGCGGACGAGGCGAGCGAGCTAGACCTCAACATCTTCACCAGTTGTCTACAGTTCCGGGAGGCACAGACAGAGGACCCAGAGATCCGGGAGTTGCAGG